TAAAACTCTCTCTCTCGGGCTTATTCTAAATAACATAGAGATAGGAACTATCCTCACATAGGTAATCCATACTGTTAATATATGGTATTATTCCTTTGTATCCAAGATATTGTAGTATTGTTAGTAATCATTAAATTGTTAATTAATGTCCTCCTTGTCTGGTATTCGTTCGTTATGCACAACCCCACACAGGATCTTACCACTCGGGTTCTGTTCAAAATCAAGCCATCCAGTGACAAAGTGAGCAGGTCTAACGGATCTGACGATTAGAGGGCCTGGACCCTCGTCCGTATTCTCACAATACTGTACACATTTATCTGTATAGTACTAGAAGTCTGCGGTTTAGTGGTATTAATGTAACGAGATTTTACGTTATTTAATGCTACTTTATTAATTTTTATCTTTATAAAAACATTTATTTGAAGTTTAACAACATTTTCCAAAAACTTATCAGCAAAACTGAATAAAATTTATGAAAATTACAGAAAAAAAATTCCGAATTACATTAAAATAAAAAAAAATTTACCTGTTACATTCAACACCTAAAGCAGAAGTACAGATTATTCTAACATATCTTTTAGTGTTTTCGTCTATTTAGAGTGACTTACACATCGGCGGAACAATAAACGATAAAAGACAAATAGCCTATCATTGAGGGACATCCTGCTTGCATCCATGGCTGCCGCACGTTTCGAGTTGAAGGACCAGCTTGCATCGATGGTTGTTGCACATTTTGAGTAGAAGGAGCAGCTTGCATCCACGGTTGTTGCACGTTTCGAGTTAAATGACCAGCTTGCATCGATGGTTGTTGCACGTTTTGAGTAGAAGGATCAGCATGCATCCATGCTTGTTGCACGTCTCGAATTGAATGACTAGCTTGCATCGATGGCTGTTGCACGTTTTGAGTAGAAGGATCAGCATGCATCCGTGCTTGTTGCACGTCTCGAATTGAATGACTAGCTTGCATCGATGGTTGTTGCACGTTTTGAGTAGACGGATCAGCATGCATCGATGGTTGTTGCACGTCTCGAATTGAATGACTAGCTTGCATCGATGGTTGTTGCACGTTTTGAGTAGAAGGATCAGCATGTATCAATTGTTGCACGTTTTGAGTTGAATAAGCAGCTTGCATTGATGATTGTTGCATGTTTCGAGTTAAATGACCAGCTTGCATCGATGGTTGTTGCACGTTTTGAATAAAAGGAGCAGCTTGCATCCACGGTTGTTGCAAGTTTCGAGTTGAATGACCAGCTTGCATTGATAGTTGTTGCACGTTTTGAGTAGAAGGAGCAGCTTGCATCGATGGTTGTTGCACGTGTGGGGTTCGGGGGCCGTAAAAATTTATTACGTACTTTTTAGGGTAGAGTCCTGCCATCAGGTGTGTTTTATCGGACACATTGCCGTTTGAGATAAAATGGATGATTAGGGCGCGAGGGCAAGAGTCACTCCGAAGTCGAGGATTGAGCCTCTCAGGTGGAAGAACGGGGAGCCAAATATAACTAATTTAAGGACATTTATTAACATAAACGAACGTTTACAACAAAATTATAAAACCTGATTTTGGAAACTTGCCTATTTGTATTTATACAACGAGGGGTGCCTAACAGGGTGTATTCGAACTTAAGCGACTCACAACATACCCGGTAAACAAGATGTCTTCTCTTGTGACGTGGACCTGAAGGCCAAGACTGTGAAGGTTTCTGGTGTTTGCTGCACTTCGTCTTGTGCTTGTTCGTTTTTGAGTCGTCCTCTCTTGAACCACTCTTGCTCTGGTGCTCGTCTGGTTTTACTCTCTAGATCTCTGTCTTTCTGATTGTGACTGCGACTCCAACTCGTTCTGCAACTCAACTGTCTTTCTCTGGCTGGAATTGTGTCTCCAACTCTAACTGAACTTTCTCTGGTTGGAGCTCTCCTTTTAAATCCTTTCAACGTGAGAAAGTTCATCATCGGGTGATGATTCATTGGTAGTGACATTATTGTAGCTGAGGCAGTGTTTTCTTATTTGATGATGATGTCGAGCTTTCTTAGAGTCATCTCTGAGTTGGTGTTTACTTATCTCTAAGTTGACATGACTCATCTTTGCTCTTAGTCATTGTTCATTGATTGCTTTGACTAAGTTCTTTATGTAAACATTGCTGAAAACGAAGGTGGAATGCGATGTTCCTCATTTCTATATATATCTTTTATAATCTTTGATTATTTAAAATCTTCAATAATGTATATAAATTTAGAAATTAGTCTGCGTTTTGAGCATCAGATCAAGTACTGCGATAAGAATTTTCGAAGAATTTTTTGTGTTGAAGTAAAATATATAGACGCGAGTGCTTACAATTTGAAAATAGATGTGTGAAGAAGCATTCTGCAAATCCTTGTTGCACGGTTGAATAAAAATTGACTCACGCTCCATGTAGAAACGACGCGCGCTTTTCTGTCATGCACGATCTCTCCAGAAAGATAGTACGAGATGAAAACAGCACGTTACAAACCCAACTTATACATGATAAGAGAAGCTACAAAACTTTTTCAATCTCATTACAACAAGCAATGATCAGGTCAATAGACACGAAACACATTGATTACAACTGAAAGCTGTTGTGAAAACTGAAAGAAAAAAATAACAAACACACAGACGTGTGTATGTGTTTGTTTCTTTTGCTTCAAAAGCATTTATACCTTAACTAGTAAAAACAAAAACTAATTTTTTTATTTAATAATAAATATACAGTAAATATAAATGCAACGTTTTCACGAAAAGATAAAACTTTTGCTTCCGTTTCTCTTTCGTCGTTTTACACCATCAGCAGTCAATGAAAATTCACAAAAATACAAATACGACCATATTTTTAAAGCTACTGCCTGCACAATAAAAAAATGCAACATATGGTAAATATAATATGATTTTTCAGCTTTTAATAAAATGAATGCATTAATTGCAGCACGTATTATCATCGCAAAATAGCATAAACAACAATAAACGTGATGTAATATGTTGATTAATGGAAACATAATTAAAGTAAAATGTGATAGTTGTCATAAGAGTCACTGACAACTCATTTTTAGTGCAATGCTCTAATTAACAGACATTTTAACATTCAAAACGTCTAGCAACAATTAGCGTAACTTTCTCAGTTATTATAAAAGTAAATTTCAAAATAAAATCTTACAGTATTAATCATAATAAAAAATTGAGTGTGCAGCCATCTGTTACGAGAATTTTTTATAAAAACTTTATTTATTTTTAAGTCTTATAAGACGACAAATACTTAATTTTCACGATAGTGACGACATTTACAAATAAATTGTAAATGTTAATAACGAGTAAAACCTTCAGTAATTTTGATCCCTCTCTAGATCACCCAGTATTTCCCCATTCGCTTGATCTGTAACCACCAAAATGTAATAAAACCAATGTACCGTACAAACAAGACGACATTCCAAATTTCGATCCTCAATCTTTACCCCAAATTTTAAATTTAATAGACGCAACCAGACGTCTTACTTTCCTTAGACCATTAAACCAAATCAATTACAATCAACACCTGAAACATACTATTAAACACTAAAACTGTATAGAGAATAACGGATGTTATATTTATTCGCTTATGTTTAGTAATAAGCATAAATCGTGTTTCAGAAATAAATATATTCTATACGGAAGTAATAATTCGGATTCGCATATCGAGTATTTCATTTTCATAGTTATAAAATGAAGATGAATATTATAATCGTACAACAGAACGGAATAATATAAATGTATTTAAACTTACATAATAAAAATTCTGAAGCGAATTAATAATAAATAAATATAAAATCAACGTTGACGAAGGTTTATAATGCAGATAAATTCATATCCTCTAGCAGATATAAGCAAGCCCCAGCGCTTTACTAAGCGACCATTTAACGTAATGCAATATACAAATTCTTAGGTAAAATGGCAGATAATTGCGTTTATTGCATGTTATGTCCAATATTAAATATCTCTGCACTTTTCGGCAATATATTTTTTGCACGCTGCAAACACCAAGAGCTTAGCGAAAAACAGAAGAAATGGCTGAAAATTTATGGAAACTTTCTGCATTTAGTTTTTGTCTTACAGTTGACAACGTTAACAATGCAAAGATTTAAAACGAATGATGATGATCAATGGTTCTGTAGTCCGGCTGAAAAAATAGTAGGAAGCGGTTTAAACAATCCTTTCCTTCTGAGCATGGTTTATCTTGCAGGCAGTGCCACGCTGATAATGCTTCGTACTGGCACAAAATATAAATTAGCTATCGATTTAAGAATTTCAGAGTATGTCGGAGAAAAAGAAAGAATGCAAAAATGGAAGACAGGCTAGAGTTTTCTGTGTGGATCTACGTACATTTGTATATTAATAGGTTCAGTCGTTTTTTCATTTTACATATTTAAGGCAATAGAACAGGATTCAACTTGGATACGGACACTTTGCTGTTCCGTTTGTATTCATTACGCAGTAATTTCGCAATTAGGCCTACTAAAGTGGCTCATCACTGTAACTGTAGTAATAAGTATAATGATGTACGAAAGATTCAATGCAATATCGCGGCAATTGTATTTGGCTGTAAGACATAATGCAAAATATGAAATTAACGATATAATGCGAAAACACTTGGAAATCTGCGAATTTGTTGATAAAACGAACGATATATGGGGTAATTTTTACTTTGCTATATACGGAATTGCCGTTTATATCGTATCGATCTCTTTCTATAACACAATATTTACTACGTCAGCTACATACGTACGAATATTTCTTGTGCTTTGCTCTACTGTCTGCGTGTGTTTGGTGGTATCGATTTCGTTTGTGGTTTCTCGTATCTTCACTTCGGTAAGTTCGAAAAAATATAAATTTGAAATATTAATTTTAGTGAAGTGTAAAGTAAAGAATTGACCATGTAATTACAACAGTGTAAATTGATTATTATACTTATATTAAATTATAATTTACGAACGATAGGCTTATGATTCTTTTCAAAAAATTCGAAAATTCAATTTGATTTCTCTTCCGTTGGAAGTCAATCTCAAGGTAAGTTCAAATTGCAAATTGTAAAATTAAAAATTCTGAATTTTTCACACTTATAATTATTGACAGGCATTGAATTTTATGAAAAAATTTCGAGAAAATGAAATTGGAATCAGTTGTGGAGGATTTTTTATTCTTTCTACAAAATTTCCAATTCAGGTATTTGTATCAGATTAAAATGATTGATTATATAAATGTTCATAACATCTAAAAGTAATTTATGAATCAATCTCTAAAATGTATATGTAATAAAGTACTTTTGTTGTATAGATGTACCAATCGCTGTATAGTGTATTTAATATATTACTTCAGATACGAGATATTTTTGAAGGAATCGACAAATCTTGTAAACCAATCACAAAACCATTAATTAATGCGACTAAAAGTCCCAACTCTTAGTTGAATATCGTATAATATAGAAAAAGTTACACAAATAGCATTATTATCTTATACAAATTGTATAAATTTCATGTATTTTTGAATAGTAGATTAATTAACTGATTCAGCAAAGTGAGTCCTCTGCACAAGAAGCTTGTTAATCTACCATTACGTCAGAATCTCTCGTATCAGTATAGAATAGCATTGAGATCGCCACATAAATCGTAATACGTGGTTTATAAATTTTGTATTGTGGGAAGCATTATTTTTTATTTTTCTGTATAAATTTCGAATGGTCGTTACAAATGTTTTCACTTTGTATACACGATTAGAAGAGTCATTTTTTGTTTTTTTTTATCTGTAAATAAAGCATTACTCACATTTTAAAACTTGAATTTTCATGTAATAAATTAAGATACTGAATTGAATATGTTTTCAATGTTTGAATAATGTAAAATTAATAAATAATAAATATATGTGAATTTTTATTTACGGAAATTTAAATAAATGTATTGTAAAATTAGTTATTAAATTTATAAATAATATAATTGTATGACTGCACATCTAATTTTTAATGATAATTTATGTAAATTATTCATTCACCAGTTCATTCTTCTAAAGCTAAAGAATTACAAAAGGGCAGATTGTAATTTATTCAAAATACTCGACGTTAATTATTTTTATTTAGTTCAAATTATTTATATATTAGAGATTGAGGTAATTTAATTATTAAGAAATTTAATATTCTATATAAAAAACAAAACTTTAATGAATATTAGGTACAGTATATAAGATTATAAATAAGTTGCAAACTTCTCTTCATTTAGATGGAAAAGACAGACAAATTTAATTGTAAATGGGAAATTTGTGACAAAAGCTTCAGTAGAAACTATTATTTAAATATCTATCAAAGAATTCACACAGGTGATAAATCTTATGTATGTGAAGTTTGCCAACAGACTTACAACAATAGTTCTAATTTTCAGAGGCATTTGATGACTCATTCCGAAGGCTGTCTGTTTGTCTGTAGGCGCTGCAAATGCAGATTTAGGTTAAGAAAACACATGAGTTATCATCTTCGAAGTCACCGTGGAGAAAAGCCAATTATCTGTAATCTGTGTCCGGAACGATTTTCTGATCAATTCCATTTAAATCAGCACGTGACAATTCATACTCGAGAAGGTTCTTACGAATGTAGTAAATGTGGAGCGAAATTTAAGAAGAAGAAACAATTTAATTTACACCTTAAAATACATTGTGATGAGAAGTGACACAAGGTAATGATAATGTAATCAACTATGATATTTCTAAGAATTTATTTATTTGAATATATAAAAATTTCGATCATCATAAAATGAAATTTATTTTATGTTAAGACTTTTTATTAATGTACAATGTATACATTACGGAAAATTGTATAGCTTCATCAGGATAGGAAAATGCTCGAGAGAAATTTTAATATGTTATGTAAATACATATATATGAATGATTTATGTTATAAAAATGAAGATTTAGTACAAAATAAATTGACTAATAAAATCTGTTTTGATTGCTTGAAACATTTTTTTTTGCAAATCAATGGCCAAGGAATCCGTTCCCTAAACACTGGAAGTTCGGTTATGGGGTTTGAGCTTCGCGAGGACGAGCTGGCAACGGATTTTAAGGATTTTCTCCATATTTGTAACACCTGAATAGGGGCTATTTACTCTTAAAAAGACCTCCCGGAAGGCATTTCCCGTGGGCAGATCGCCCAACTGTTGCGTTGTCATAACTTGATAAAACAAACAAACAAGAAACATTTTGTTTTGCTTATACTATTTCTTAATTTGTGAGTCATAATAAAGTAGGAAATAAATAATTAAGGATTACTTTAGTTAAAGACACACTACATCCCATGATGCAGTGTGTATGTAATTAAAGTTAACTTATTACAAGCAATCTGTTTTAAAAATTGCTTATTCACTACATGTTGCGTTACAAGTCAGCGATATGCATTGTTGTTTATAAACACAGTAATTGCAACACTATAACAATGTCAATGTTTGAGACGAACAGTGTTCATGGAGGATGCGGTCCCTCCAAACAGCAAACTGTGTAAAATAGGTGCCTAGAAATCAAAGAACGTTTCATCACCTAGCATCTTTCAACTGTGTGGCTACATATTCACTGGATCTAAATCCATTCGATTCTTGGCATTGATGAGAGCATATCATAAAGACAGGTCTATCGTCACAACATTGGCATACCTTAGAAGATAGCATATCAAACCAACATTTGAACGGTGACATTGCAATTAATAGAGAAATATGTCATTTTGAGATTTGAGATGACAGGAAGAAATAGTCGTTAACACCATTACTTTCTGTTATTTTACATGAATCATATTTCGAGATGACAAATTAAAAAAACGCTTTACTAAATTATAAACTTAAAAAATATTGTAAGTTTATTTTTACAACTTTTTTTCGAAAATATTCTTTAATATTGCCTCATTAATATGTAGTAAAATTTCGTGAAATTTTATAAGCAGTTTTCGCTGCAAACTGATAGGAATAAATCAGCTTTAACTGTGAATACCTGAAATCTTATCACGATGAATTACTCTAGCATCGATATTTTCTTTTCAGTGTTTTAAAATAGCATGAAACATCTTAAAATTTTATTAAAGTTTTATACAAAAACAGATTTATTTGATTACTTTATATTATATTGCACAGTTTGATTAATAACTCGTTAATAAAGTAACTAAAGAATTTGTATTTTTCGTTTATTCTATTAAGTGTTTTTTCAAACTTCTTATGGATTTTATGTTCGATAACTTTCATTTAAATAATGACATATGTAAGAAAAACTAAGAGTATTTGGAAGTAATTAACTAATATAAAATTTTGTTTTTAGTTGGTTATATTCTGAATTATATCTAATGGATAAAAAATACGAAACACTGGTATTTGTTTCACTGATTACCGTAGTGTCACATGGAGTTGTAGTTATACGTCTAACAGAAACTGGAACGAGTTTACTAGAGAAAGTCCTCGATAAAATCTTACCCAATTGCATTTCCCCCATGACATTCTTTTCTTTAGCCCATTAAAGAAAATCAATTATAATTAGCAACCGAAAATAACTATTAATTGAACCGTAAAACTGTAAGGGGAAAAACAAATGTTATATTTATTCGTTTATGTTTGGTAATAAGAAGTAATCATGTACAGAATTAAATTTATTCTATACGAAAGTAATAATTTGAATTCGCATATCGACTATTTTATTTCCATAGTTATAAAATGAAGATGAATATTAAAATCGTACAACAGAACGGAATAATATAAATCTATTTAAACTTACGTAACGGTAATTCTGTAAAGAATTCATAATAAATGAATATAAAATCAACGTTGACGAAGATTTATAGTGCAGATACATTTATATCATCAAGCAGATATAAGAAAGCCGCAGCATCTTACAAAGCGACCACTTGACATTATGCAATACACAAATTATTAGGTAAAATGGGAGATAATTGCGCTTATTGCTTATTATGTCCCATATTAAATATCTCTGCACTTTTCGGCGATATATTTTATGCACGCTGCAAACACCAAGAGCTTAGCGAGAAACACAAGAAATGGGCAACAATTTATGGAAAATTTCTGCATTTAGTATTTGTCGTACAGCTGATAACGTTAACAATACAGAGATTTAAAACAGACGACGATCCATTGTTTTGTAGTCCGGCCGAAAAAATAGCAGGAAGCGGTTTAAACAATCCTTTCCTTTTGAGTATGGTTTATCTGGCAGGCAGTGCCACACTGATAATCCTTCGTACTGGCACAAAATATAAATTATCTGTCGATATAAGGGTTTCAGGGTATGTTGAGGAAAAGGAAAGATTGCAAAAATGGCAGATAGGCACGATTTTTCTGTTTGGATCAGCGTACATTTATATATTAATCGGTTCAGTCGTTTTTTCATTTTATATATTTCAGGTAGTAGAAGAGGAAACGACTTGGATACGCGCTCTTCTCTGTTCCGTTTGTATTCATTACGTAATAATTTTGCAATTAGGCCTATTAATGTGGCTCATGACTGTATTGGTAGTAGCAAGCGTAATGATGTATGAAGGATTCAACGCAATATCGCGGCAGTTGTATTTGGCTGTAAGACAAAATGCAAAATATGAAATTAACGACATAATGCAAAAACACTATGTAATCTGCGAATTAATTGATCAAATAAACGATATATGGGGTGATTTTTACTTTGTAATTTACGGAATTGCCGTTTATACCGTATCGATCTGTTTCTATAACACAATATTCACTACGTCAGCTACATACATACGAATATTTCTTGTACTTTGCTCCATTCTCTGCATATATTTGGTGGTATGGATTTCGTTTATCGTTTCTCGTATCTTCGCTTCGGTAAGTTATAAACCATATAACTTTGTAATATTGATTTTTGTTAAGTGTAAAGTATGGAATAGTTCATGTAATTACAGTAGTGTAAATTGAGTATTATACTTATATTAAATTATAATTATGAACAACAGGCTTATGATTCTTTTCAAGAAATTCGAAAATTCAATTTGATTTCTCTTCCGTTGGAAGTCAATCTCAAGGTAACTTAACATCGTAAATTTTGAAATTAAGATTTAATTTTCACACAGCAAATTATAATTATTTACAGGCGTTGAATTTTATGAAAAAGTTTCGAGAAAATGAAATTGGATATAGTTGTGGAGGATTTTTCATTCTTTCTACAAAATTTCCAATTCAGGTATTTGTATAAGATCAAAATAATGGAATATGTGAAATTTTTATAAGTTTTAGAAATGATTAATGAAGTAATGCTTTAAATTTATATGTAATAAAGTATTTTTGTTTCATAGATATACCAATCGCTGTATAACGTTTTCAATATATTACTTCAGATACGAGATATTTTTGAAGGAATCGACAAATCGTGTAAACCAATCACGAAACTATTAAACAATGCCACTGAAAGTCCCAACATGTAGCTGAATATATTATAGTATAGAAGAATTTACACGAATAGCACTATTGTTTTATATTGATTGTTTAGATTTCATTTATTAATGTTTTCGAATAATAGATTAGTTTACTGATTCAGCAACATCCCCTCTGCAGAAGAAGCATACGAATCAGCTATTACGTCGAAATGTCTGATATCAGTATAGAATAGCATTGAGAGCACCACATCAATCGTAATAAGTAGTTGATAAATTT